AACCCCCGGGGGAGCATAGTGATGAGCACCAGGTTCCAGCATGGGAGTGGGGCTCACTTAAGCTGGGAGGGTAACTACATATGCCACTTGGTTGGGTACTGCCAACTTCCCTTCCACTTTGCACTGCCACAGTAATGCGTGATCCAGCACAGCCTCAGAATGAACTGTCAATTTAATAAACGAGAACTGATTGTTCAATGAAGTTTTTGTGTTTTTTCTCTGTGATTTATCATAACATTTGTCTGATTGCTTATGGGACAGAACACAGTTTTGTATGTTTGAGAATCAGTTGCCTTTCTTTTTTTCTATGAACTGTCTCCTCATGTCATATACCCATTTTTGTTAGGTTATTGCTCTTTTTCTTCTCAGTTTCAAAGGGATCTTTATATGTCATTACTTTATGTGTGATACAGATTGCAAACATTTCCCCTCAATGTGTCATTTGTCTTTTGACTTTGTTTATGCTGTGTCCTGATGGTGTTCATTCGTTGGGGAAGGAGAAGGCAAGAGAGAAAGGCCACCAGTGCTTCCCCAGCTGTGTCAAGATTTTAGGCCACTTGCCTCCCTTCCCAGGCCAAAAAACAGCCCAAATCAGGTGTGTAAATGTCCAGGAGCTCATGAGACAGGGAGCACGGAGACTAGCCCGAGTATGGGGATGGCTACCACACCTCCTCCCTGCAAGAGCTCGGGAAGCCATCAGTCGGAGGTGAAGCAGCCCTTGGGGAGAGGCCAGGGGTCAGGTCCTGCCAGGCTGGGTTTATACAGAGGCTGTGAAATTCCTCCTGAGCTCAGCAGGACGTGGCATTTGGACTCCGGGTGAGCAGAGCATTCCAGACCCCACCCAGAATGAGGCATGAGGGAGGCCAGTCATGAGAGGGGAGGGGCAGGACCTTGAGTCAGTCCTTCTGAGTAGGACCTTTGCTGACTCACCCAGGCTGTGGGGCACCTGGAAGGAGAGAAAAACACCCGAGATCTCAATTCTAGGACTTGAGGACTCCTAACTGCCTCATTTTGTGTTTGCAAAGTATAAAAACTAACATTATAACTGATAATAGTAAGTGTTAATACATATTGGCACTTACACAGTTCATAGTTCATATGGCTCAATCAGAAATGTACCAGAAATGTTCTAAGTGCTTTTTATATATTATCTTGTTTGATTCTCACAACTCTACAAGGGAGATACTCATCTGAGGAAACCGAGGTTCAGAGAAGTAAGACTCGCCTTCAGCACCTGCCTCCTCTCTTGTTTTATCTGTCAGATTTCTCCCAGACCAGAGCTCATTCACTGCCAGAAACTAACAAAAGCCAGGGAATTCATACCCCCAGGGGCAGCCCTCAACCTACAGAAGACAGGGGCTGATGGATGCATGCTCCAGCCTCCTGTCTGGGCAGTAGAGATGAGTGTGTGCTCTTCTGAGGCATGTTCCATATGGTTTCTCAGAGAGTCTGCAGTGAGGTGGAGCCTCAGTTTCCCAGTCTGTAACCTGCCCACTAATGTACACTTTGTGGGCTTCTCTCTTTTCCCTGACTCACTTTCCCTAGTCCCTTGCTAGGATGACCTGTCGAATAAACTGCCCGCACCCCAGGACTTGCCTGGTGGTGTGCTTTGAGGGGAACTCAGAAGACACTTGGTTTCTAGTTCTGACTCTACCTGTTAATGACACAGCACTTGCTCCAGATCTTAGTTCCCACGCTGGAAAATGGGGCCATCATCTCTGCACAGCACATGGTGCAGAACAGCTGTGAGACAATGATTTCACTGAGGGAATGCCTGTGAGCACGTCCTGCACGGCAGAGGGACCAGCAGGAAGGATGTGTAGTATCACTATTAATTATGCCAGAGAGGAGACAGCAAGGTGATCTTCTGGGAGCCAGAGAGTAAACATGCTCAAGTACATCAGTAAAAATGAAAGTGATGGGCATTTTCCCTTCCTTTTCAGTCCTTTCTCCAGGACTGAAAGTAGTCAGTTCCTTGGGTTCTCATGCCAACTTCTGATCTGGCCAGTTGTCTTCTGTGTTTTTAATGGGCCCATGATGGCCAGGATCATGGCAACTTTAGTCCTACCAGCCTGTGTGAATAATCTCTTTAAGAAGAGAAAGGAGGATTGATATTCATTGAGTGGCTACTCTGCTAAATGCTTTACATAAATAATCCTTTTAGTCCTCATAATAGCACTGCTTAATTGGTCTCAATAGCTCCACTTCACAGATGAGGAAACCAATGCCCAGAGGTTAGTGCCTAAGGTAACTTGGCAAGAAGTGGGACATGTGGATTGCAACCCCAAGTCTCTCTGTGCCTCCCAAAGTCTTTGCTCCTTCTAGATTGGATATGCTCCCCGCCAGGAGGCCAAGCACAGTGCCCAGTGACTCCGCCAGAGCTCACAAATCCTCTTTAAGAACTGCCTTCAGAGCCAAAAAACCAGTCTCATTAAAATTTGGTTGTACTTTACCAGTTAGCTGTTTGCCTTCCCCCTTCTCCCTGGAAGCAGTGCAGTGTGGAGGTTACAGAGGTGGACTCAGGTATCACACCAACTGGGTTTGAATCTACTTCCCTGCCATGGGATCTTGGACAAGTTACTTAAACTCTCTATGCCTCAGTTTCTTCATATGTAAACTGTGGACAAGGAAGCCCTACTATGTATGATACAGCAAGGTGGAAGGGCTGTGATGATAAAGCAAGATAATTAATCCATGTAAAGTGCTTAGCCTCACGCCTAGCACATTTAGAGTGTTCAGTAAACACTGGCAATTGCTGTCCTTTCCAAGAAAGCCCTGATTCCCCGTCCCTCCTCTGTGTGGTTAGGGCTGTCTCCTCTCTGCTCCCCCAAGCATTCCCAGGCTGCCTGTCATTGTACTTATCCCCTAGGCACTGTCATTGCCTGCTACCTTATACCAGGTATGAGCTGTGCCCCCTGAGGGCTGGTACCACTCCCAGATCAAGTGGGTCAGGGGGGTTCTTAGAAGGATGACCAGCTTGTCATCAGGCTGGCCAGACTGTTGGTCACCCCTAGCAAACCATGCACACTTTCAACATATCTCATCCACAAGCAACAAGAATAGTGCCTATCTCAGTAGGCAATGGGTAAATGAGCTCTGAATGACTATGAGCTATTTTTAATTTTAAAACATCCAGCATCCCCACTGAGAGAATTCAAGATCATTTGGAGAAGGGGCTGGGACTAGTTCCTCAAACAGTGTGGCTTCACTGGATATGTGAGTATCCAGCCTCCCCAGGGAGCAAACTCATTTGCATGGATAAATTCTGATCTGTGGTTTTTCAAATCAGTGCTTCTTTGTGTCCATCACTATGCTGTGCACACAGTAGGAGCTCAATAAATAGGTGTTTATTTATTGAAGTACTCCAGAGCCCCTGAATTCGCAAACAGAAACCAGAATCAGAGTCTCCTCCCTTGCAGGCCAGGCTTCGGTCCATCTGGGCAGACAGATGGCCATTCACCAGCCTGCTCCCTCTGGGAATACTGTCCTGGCTCCAAGCAGGACTGCTGAAAGGGGGCCATTCTCTCATCTCAGAAGGGCCTCAAACACTTCACAGTGAGGATTTTTTTCCCAACTGCCTCACTTGACCTTTGGGCTTAACGGGCAGTGGGCAAAGTCCAGGGAGGCCTGCAATAAATGGCCTTCCACCAGCCCACGACCTACTCTGCTCTCTTGGACTCCCAATTTGACACTTTTGTGGGCTTTCTGTAAACTTGGAAGAGCATGGAAGACCACAAGACTTTCCTCCTTTCCTCTAGATTGGGTGCTGGTCTCCACTGGAAGTTAGGAGGCTCCTTCCTATGGCCACAGCCCCTGAGCCACCACCCTCTCCCTTCCCCTGTCTCCCTCCAACATGGCAGGGGGTCAAGGCATTCAGGTATCTTAAACAAAAGTCCTGGCTGACCAGTGGGAGGATTTCAGAGCCCGGGCAATCACAGCACATCCACCCCTGGACTAGGGCTTCATCTCTGCAGACTGGCCTGCTGGGGAAGGGAAGGTGCTGCTGGTCACTGCCCCAGGAACTCGTGCTCCATCGGGTCAGCTGGGGGGTAGCCAGTGGTGAAGGTGGGGTACCATATGAACATGCATTAGGGGAAGAGAGAAAGATCTAACAGGAGACACTGTTCAGTCTCCTAAGAGATTCAGGTCAATTGGTCTCACCTCTTGCTTTTGGTATCTCACCTCAACTTCTGGCATTTTCATAACATCATTTACCAGACAGACCAGGCAGGACACAGCACACATAGTGAGTACTGAGCAAGTGTCAGTTACCATGATTATCAAGTGCCAAGACAGAGGGGCACACAGGCAGCATCGCATTGTCCTATTTGGATGGAACTAGGGACAGGTGTGAAACATCATTTGAGATGGAACTGAAAAGACAGATTGGAAGTCATCCTATAGCTGAGGCCTGTGGGAAGTTTATGCTTAATTCAGTGGTCATGGTGGGCCGTTGAACAAGGTGAAAATGGAGAGTTTATAGACAGAGGAGGATTCAGCCTGTGTTCTTATCACCAATGCCCTTGTGTTTAGATCATGCCAACCTCACTCCCCCCAAGCCCCCACACCCACACCCCGGCCTACACAGCAAATGGGCCAGCCTCGCCATTGAAGATCCCAGCTTTCCTCTTTCCTGCCCTCTGGATGTGAGCCTGAAATCTTGCTTGAGTTTGCTGAGCAAAAATAAAAGGACTCAGCAAGAAATCACAGGTCTGCACCCCTTTCCAGTCAGGCCCTGGTTTGATTTAACGATGACTGGTGTGGTGCCTAGTTTTCGCACATGTTTCATCTCATTACTCTGGGATTTCTCTTTTTTTTTCCTCCCCACAGTGCTCTTTGCCAGTCACCGATAAGGGAATCTTTAGCAAAACGCTGCACAGCACTGGCAGTCTGTCCTGTGGATCTGGAATGTTGAATCTGTAGGTAGGGAAAGCTGAGGCCAGCGGGAGGTGATCTGCCAAAGTCAGTGTAATAGTGGTGAAGGAACAGGTTTTGGAGTCAGGCCACAGCACCCCTGAGGGCAAAGACTACGTCTGCCTTGTTCTCTGATGTATTCCCAGGACTTGGAACAGTGCCTGGCACACAGCAGGCACTCAATAAATGGATGCTAAGTAGAGAAGTGAGTGGAGAGATGAATGCCCATCATCGTGAGAGGTACAAGCGTAAACAATGCCATGCAGGGTCAGGGGACTCAGGCTCAGGAATGCCTTGCTGCCAATTGCCAGCTTTCAGAAAAGATCAGCCATTTGCCCTGGTGTATGGTGGGCGGTGGGTGATGAGCGAGTGTTGGAGGGAGGGAGCAGGTCAGCAGCGCTGTGCTGGCAGGTCCGCCTCTGAGGACGAGTCTGGCCAAGGCACGCCCAGAGTGGAATACTGTCAAGACAGCGCACCAGGGAAGGCACCCTGTGCCCCTGTCCACCTCTACCCTGCTCCCACCGCAGCACCCTCATCATGCCCACTGCAGGGGTGACCGTGACAAAAGCATCTTTACCGCCTCAGTAGGGGGCGAATGCCCATGACTACTCACAGCTCGAGAAACCCACCGGCTGGGGGCCAAGCAATGAAGGCCTAGGTCTGGCCTTGCGAGGCGGAGCAGAACCCAAGACTGGGCCCCAGGAGCCCTGGCAGAGCGTGTCCCCCCAGCCCCCAGCGGGAGTCCGCGGCAGGCAGCACGTCCCCTTCCCGGCGTGGTTAGGACACTCGGCTCCTTGCGCGCGCCGGAGAGGACCCCGGGAGGTCTGGGCCCAGGGCATGCATCCGAGGCAGCCTAACAAGTGCGGGCTTTGTGCGGCCGCCGGGCGGCAGGACGGCGAGTCCCCGCGCCCCTCCGGGCCCAGGTCCCGCTGCTGCTACTCGGCGGATTCCTGCGGCCGCAGTGTCTTGGCAGCTCCACAGCGGGCGGAGGTGGCGGGCAGGCGGGACTTTCGCGGCCCCTCGCCCTCCCCTCCCTCTCGGGGAGAAAAGCTCCAGAGAAGAGAGAAGGGACCAGACAGACCTCCGAGGGATGCAAATCTGCCACCGAATCAACAGATTTAGAGATTTGAGCACTGGCTGGCTTTTGATAGAGCAGGCGCTAAGGCAAACACAGGGCCGGCCCACTGGCTGCTCTCCCCAGCTGGAGGGGCTGTAAGTAATTCCAGTGCGGGGAAGGCTGGGGAGAAAGGGGAAGTCCACAGGGTCCTCCCTCCTGGCCCCTGGGCCTGCCTCCCCGAGACCCTCAGGAGTGAGGTCTGCCCACCAGAGATACTGAGCGTCTTGCACTCTCTGATGTGTGCTTGGTCCTGTTGCAGCGAGGAGTCCGAGTGCTGAGCTGACCACAGGGACAGCAGGTGGGAGGGAGGAAGGCCTCTCTGGCTGTCACCTCAAGATCCCGGTCCCAAGCTACATCCACCCAATGCTCCCAGGACCAGGACAGCAGCCTACTAGATCCTCTGCCTCTTGCACCTGACTAGGGTTCTGCTTGAAGTCCAAAACTGCGGGGGTCAGTGTGACCTGGGGAAGGGAGCTGTTGGAATGATCTGTGGGCATTCTTAAACTCTGCTGGAAAATGTCCACACAAAGGAGTGTGATATTTAAAGAGGCAAAGCCTTTAAAATGGTTCTTCCTTCTGATCAGCATTTCAAGGAATTTATCCCAAGGGAGGAGTTATAGGTGGGCACAAAAATGTTCACTGTGGCACTACTTACAATAAAGCAACTGAAAACAAATCCGTGGCTAACAACAGACTTATATAGACATCACATGGCATGGACGTGAGAAAAATTATCAGGATATATCATTAAGTAGGAAAAATATACGATACAAAACTGATTGTTTTCAGTTTAAGAGCTCTGATAGGTCTGAGGAAGCCAGTGTTGCGAACATGCAGAGCTGAGAGCTAAAGTAAAGCAAATCCAGGATTTCCAAATATATACCCATGCTGAATAACATAGCACAGGGGTTTCTCGATGGCCAAATGAAATTATTCTAGCCAACATTCACCAAATGCTTATGATATGGAGGGAAATCTTTAAAAATGAGATGAAAATGATAGAAAAAGCAGAAAGGGGTGGGGGTAAAAGATGCAGGGGAAAAGCAAAATGAATAGAAAGCATATAGGAAGATGGTAAAAATAATGACTATATCAGGAATTATTACAAATGGTGAAAGTCTAAACTCCACATTTAAAAGTTTGCCAGATTTGGTTTAAAAATATGTGCACAATCAAAAAATGATAGAAATTCACAAATCCCCAATGATATGTGTAAGATTTCCAAGAGAAACAGTCAAAACATGAAAGAGAAAGGTTGAAAATAAGACTGAAAAAGATACACTAAGAGACATTAATCTCCCCCTCAAAACAACCCCCCAGCTGCCGTGGCTCTATTAAACTTTAAAGAGAAAAAGCATTATTGAGAATATCAAAAACTACATAATTATAAAAGGAGTAGTTCACCAGGAAGCCATAACAATTGTAATAACATATGTTTGGTATCCAAATTTATAAAATAATAAGTGATAGAATTACAAGAAGAAATGTATAAATCCTCAATCATAATGGCAGATTTATTATACTTCTTTCAGGAACTCATATATCAAACAGACAGAAATCTAGTAAGGACAGAATATTTAAATAATACAATTAAGTTTAATCTATGAACATGTATAGAACCATGTATTCAACACAGAAATATTTTTCAAGAACATGTACCACATGTGCAAAAATTCATTATTTACTAGGCACGAAGCAAATCATAAAAAAAGCCAGAATCGGTTGCATATAAACTTTATGCTCTGAGTGCGGTGCAATGAAGATAGAAATCAAGAACCAAAAGATGACTAAATACAGTATTGTTTTGTAAATTTTAAAACAAACTACCAGAAAACTCACAGGTTACAGAAAAATCACAATGGGAAATTAGAAATTATCTAAAATTGAATGACGTTGAAGGTATTATGTATCAAAACTTATGGGATGCCTTTCTTCTTCACTTCCCTTCCTGGCCCATTCAGTTTTAAGCTGTTAAGTGAAGAAAGCAAGATAATTGATGGGTGCCCACTGAGAGGGGTGACCTGGAACCGGTCTCACAGCCCAAGTGGAATGAGGAGCACACCCGGGGGGGGGGTGGCGTGGTGTGGGGAGTCCCGGCCTGAGCCAGGAAGGGAGGGCATCTGTGCAAGGAAGCAGCCTGGTGTGAGATGCTGAAGCCCAAACCTGGTGAGAAGGGCAGCCACCAGGCTACGGGGGTGCCTGATGGGAGGTGCCGGAGTCCCACCAGGGTGAGGAAGGCAGCCACACAGAGCGGCAGCCTCTTGCCTAGTGTCAGACCCAAGCTGGTGAGGAGTGTACCCACAGACCTCACACTAATGCCTCCAATTCCAATCCAAGAGCAAAGATTCATTCTAGTTACCTCTCTCTCCATAGATGTAAACCCCTTTTTCAATAGTGAAAAACCTGGCTCCCATTATCCTTAATACAGGGACACATTTGATCCATTCCCCTTGAAACCAATCTCCCACTATAGCTGCCGCCTCTCCCCTAAGCAGATAGACACCCTTCTTACCCTGGTTTGTCTCTAACGCTCTATGACAAGATTTTTATACTTTGCTTGAAACTTTCCTGTAAGTTGGAAATTATATTAAGAAATTTATTTTAAAAACCCTACAGGATGCACCTAAAACAGTACAGGGATATTTTGAAGCCTTAAATGCTTATATAAGAAAAGCAGGCTGAAAATTAATTAGCAAAGTATCTAAGATATTTGAGAAATGAACACAGAAAACCTGAAGAAAATAGAAGGAAGAAAATAATAAAGGTAAGTGTTGGCAATGCCATGAGGTCATGTCAACGCTTCTATATCTATGGAGAGGGTGTAACTGGATACAACCGATCTGGAAAACAATTTTCCTCACCCAGTAAAGTTTAAAATGAGCATAACCTATGATCAACAATTCCATTCTTAGAAGCATCTCCATATGCCCCAAGAGATGGGACAAGAATGCTATTGTAGTGTTGTCTGTAATAGCCAAGAAAGAAAGAAAGAAAGAGAGAAAGAAAGAAAGAAATCTCCCTTGATTGATAGAATGTATAAATAAGCCATGATCTAGTCATAAAATGAAATGCTGTGGATAAGTAAAAATGAATGAACCACAGCTATACACGTCACCACAGATGAATTTCGAAACCATAGCAATAAGCAACAATAACTAGTGACAGAAGAATTCATATTTCTGAAAATATTTCAGGAAAACATAGGATAACATATTTATCCTATGTTTGAGGCTGGGAAGAATGTCTTAAATAAGATATAAAAGACATGTAAACCGTATTGTGAAAGACTGGTAAAACTGAAAATATTAAAAGCAAAACTTCCTGCATGACAAGACACTATAAAAAAAGAGAGAGAGAGAGAAGCTGTAGGCTGGGAGAGGACATTTGTAGCAGATTTGAGTGGCATGGATTGGTCCACAGAATTTATAAAAGATTTCTCAAATATCAACAAAAGTCAAGCTCAGTAGTAAAAAAAAAAATAAGCAAAGCATATGAAGATCCAATTTAAAGAAAAAGACAGTGGAATGACTAACAAAACTTAATAAGATGTTCAATTGCTCTGAAGATGGGAGGATGCAAATTACATCTCTAATCTTACAGCTCAGCTCCCAGCCAGCCCCAGGCACTCAGCACCATGCTCACCATCCTGCCGCTGTCACCACTCATCCTGACCACTCATCTTCAATGCTGACCACATCTTGATGCTCCAACTGCCCCACCTAGGTGCCAGAGCTCATCTGCCTCCTGCCTAGTGGTGCCCTCTTTTAGAGCTGTTTGGGTCCTCAGGGGTTAGACACGCACAGCCTCTTCTTTCCCAACCCACATATACATTTCCAGGGGGACTGGGCTCAGGCAGGTTCAAGTCACAGCCAAATACTGTGACTAATGAAATGCTGGTCCCCTTCAATCCTCAACCCCTTTGCTGAGTCAGTCTCACCATGGCTTGTTCTCCTTTCACTGTGGTATCCTCCTTTCCCTTCCAGGTTCTCAAATATTCATCCCCCTTGCAATTAAGTGTCTGTTGCCTTCTCCACCCCATTCCTGTGTGTCTAAACCCCCAAGTGTGGACATAGTTTGGGATCATTCCCAGAAGGCTACCTAGTCCCCATCAATATCAGTGAATGTGAAATACAATTCATAGTAATATTTTTTTCTGGGATAGGTCAAAATCGCTAATTTTAAAAAATCAAGGTAGAAAGTAAAAATAAAGAACTCTGAAATAACCAAGGCATGCCCTCTTTCTGAGAGACCTAACGCTTTACTTCAGCATCAGTATCCTTAAGTTTGCCTGCCATTCCTGCATTATGCCTCTAGTAACAAATTCAGGGATAAGAATAAATAACTCAAGAAATACATGCTCCTTTCTCTGGCTGGAAGTGAAGCCATGCCATGGAATTGGCAAGAGTCAGCTGCCATGTCTCAGGAACACAGAAGCTTGACAGTTATGCAGTTCAGGCTCTCACCCATTGCAGCAGTGCCCTCTACAACTCCTGACCTGGGGACAATGAACTCTGCTTCATCTCTCCAGACAATGGGGAGATCAAGTCCGACAACGCCAAGTGTGGGCATCCCCAGCGCACAGCAGTAGACATGGCCAAGCGCTGGACTCAGTCTATCTTCTGAGCAAGTAAGTGAATTTTTCATTTACTGAAATATTTATTAAAAGTTTCATTTGAATGTGGTTTTTGACCTATTAGCTTTATTTTGTGACTTGGAATGACATTTCTATATATTTATACGAGGGTTACATTTAGAATCCAACCACCCCTCAGAAAATAGCTTTTTGTGAATCTAAAAATTCTCAAGCTTGTTGTTTCAGTGACTGGAAACATTTTTCTAAATGGTTTCTTTAAAAGCAGGCATAAATCAGCACCACTTTACTGGCTGCTAAAAATACTGATGCAACTAACGGATTAAAAGTTATTTGCAGATGGTAGTGTGCTAAATTTGTTCTTAAAATCTACTCATGTCACCAAATATGGGTTTCTCCATAGTACTGAAAAATAAAGTTATTTTTAAATGTAATGTAATCCAAATGTCAACGGTCCCTCATTCCTCCCCATTCTTTTCTCTTCTTTTTTATGAACTCTTCAGCAGTGGCTGAGAATAAAATTTCTTCATGCAGTTACATTAATATTGCATGAAATTTGGAAAATAAAGCAAAAAAAACCCTAACAAATGTAAGCATTTTTGTGGTTTTCTTTCTTCCTTCCTTCCTTCCTTTCCTTCTTTCTTTCTTTTTCATTGTTGCTATTGTTCATTTGCAAATATATCTGCATGTTTGTTACATGAATTGTACATACATATAATTACATGTTACATACATTTTTGTGCCTTGTTCTTTATTTTCTGGAAAATGCCCTGTATCCAGCTCGCAATGTAGGGGCAGGAATCATATTTTTGTTTTGAATCATATTTATATTTTGATCCTCTTGAGAGCACAGCACCTGCCACATTGCCATGTAATCTCAATAATATTCACTAAAATTCTCAATAATATTCATCAAAATCACCAAAGAGCAAAGAACATTCTAAGTATTCAGAACTATGATTTACCATGCTGTGTATAGATCTGACAGCACTATAAGTTAGTTATTTTTCTCACTTGATAAGTGAAAAAAATTCATATTCAAAGAGCTTAAATAACCTGCCCCAGGTCACACAGTGACCTGACAAGTATCCCAGCTAGGATTCACTCACAGGTCTAAAGTGTCTTAACCCCAAACTCCTGACCAGCTTGTATGATGAGTGGAGTGTAGGGAATACAGAAGCCTCTCAGTTTAATAATGTCTCTATTCCAAAGTTGGAGAGCTTCCACCATTAGATAAAAGACAAGTATGCCTTTAGGTAGTGACTGGCTTTGAAGTTAGTGCTCATGTCCACTCAGGTCTTCTCTATTAAAGGCTAGTTATCACCATGTTTTTCAAACTTCCTTTCATGTAACAAGATTTCTAGTCTTCTTACCACTATCAGTCTCTTCCTGAGGTATTTAGTCTGTGCATATGTTGCTTCAAATAGGATGTCAGAAACAAACAATAATTCAAAAAGAAATTAAGAAAACAATCCCATTTATAATAACATCAAAAAGAATAAAATACTTAGGAATAAACTTAACTAAGGAGGCAAAAGACTTGTACATTGAAAACTACAAAATGTTGCTGAAATAAATGAAAGAAGGCAAATAAGTGGAAAGACATACCATGTTCATGGATTGGAAGACTTAATGTTAAAATGTTCATACTAAAATGTTCAAAGTAACCTACAGATTCAATGCAATTCCTATCAGAATCCCAATGGCAATTTTTACACAAATAGAAAAAAAAAACTATCTTAAAATTCACATGGAACCACAAAAGAACTTGAATAGCCAAAACAATCTTGAGAAAGAAGAACAAAGCCAAAGGCTTCACATTTCCTGATTTCAAAATGTATTACAAACCTACAATAATTAAAACAATATACTATTGGCATAAAGACAAACATATATACCAATGGAACAGAATATAGAGCCCAGAAATAAACCCAAGAATATACTATCGACTCATTTTCAACAACAGTGCCAAGAATACCCAATGGGGAAAAGATAATTTCTTCAACAAATGGTGATAGAAAAACTGAATATCCACATGTAAAAGAATGAGATTGTATCCTTATCTTACACAAAACAAAAATCAACTCAAATAAAAAAATTAAGACCAGAAGCTATAAAACTCCTAGAGAAAATATAGAACAAATGCTTCATGACATTAGTCTTGGCAATGATTTCTTGGATATGGCACCAAAAGCACAGGCAATAAAAACAAAAATAGAAAAGTGGAACTGTATCAAACTGAAGAGCTTCTGCATGCCAAGGAAACCATCAATAGAGAGAAAAGGCAACCTAAAAAGTGGGAGGAAATATTTGCAAACCATATATCTGGTAAGGGGTTAATATCTGGAATGTATAAGGAATCCCTAAAACAAATAACAAAAACCAAATAACCCAATTAAAAATTGTGTAAAAGACTTAAACAGATATTTCTCCAAAGAAGACATATGAATGACCAACATGCATAAGAAAAAAATGCTCAATATCACAAACCATCAGAGAAATGAAAATCAAAACCATAATGAGGTCATCACCTCATACCTGTAAGGATGGTCATTATTCAAAAAAACCCAGAAAATAATGTGTGTTGGTGAGGTTATGGAGAAACTGGAACCCTTGGGCACTGCTGTTAGGGATATGAAGTGGTTTAGCTGCTATGGAAAATAGTATGAAGCCTCATTTCTGGATATTTATCAAAAAGAATTGAAATCAGGATCCTATAAATATATCTGTATTCCCATGTTCGTTGCAGCATTATTCACAAAGTCCAAGAGATGGAAGAAACCTAAAGGTCCATCAATGGCCTAATGGATTAAAAAATGTGAGATATATTCTATACACATACAATGGAACATTATTCGGCTATAAAATATAAAATCTTTTGTAATATTCTACAACATGGATACAGCTTGAGGACATTATGCTAACTGAAATAAGCCAGTCACTGAAGGACAAATACTGCATGACTCCACTTACATGAAGTGTCTAATGTAGTCAAACTCACAGAAGCACAAAAAGGGTAATTGCCTGGGACTGAGGGGAGAAGGAAATGAGTTGCTGTTCAATAGGTAAAAAGTTTCAGTCATCTAAGAAAAAAATGTTCTAGAGATTTGCTGAACAACATTGTGCTAATAGTTAATGATACCACATTGTACACTTGGAAGTTTGTGAAGAGGGTAGATCTCGTGTTATGGATATATGTATATATACGGTCAGCAATTTGTTGTCTTGAG